ATGGAGTCTTTAGACGCCTCAGATGTAAAGTTATTCGCTGTCAAAGTGACGCCAAAATGAATGGGAGTCAATGGAAATGCTAACGCAAGTGAAGTTCTGCTACAACATGGCGGCACCCGGCCGGCTTCAACTTCCGGTCGATGGATTACCCCCTTGGTTTTACCCTCTCATTTAACCTTTAATTATTTGATCTCCTCAGTTCCCCGATTGCAGTTTGCCAATGATGATAAACACCTCCTCGCCTGCTGCTCATTGGATGGGACATTGTCAATCATGACACTATCCCCACCTCCACCAACTGTAAAGGTGACACTGAAAGGCCATGCTGGGCCCGTGACTGACTTTGCCTGGTCGCTTAGCAATGACATCATTGTGTCCACGTCCAAAGATGGCACTCTGCGTATCTGGAACACAGAGGATGGCCGCTGCATCCGGGAGGTGGTCGACCCAGAGGGCAGTGAGCTGCTGTGCTGCACTTTTCAGCCCATGAACAACAACCTGACTGTGGTGAGCCCAAATGGCAACCATTATTGTTTCTGATATTCGCTACTGTTCAAAAGTTTTGGGTTGGTAGGATTTTTAAATGTTTTTTTTTTAAAGAAGTCTAAAAACGTTAAGGTTGCACTTATTTGATCGAAAAATACATGAAAAACTATAATATTGTATAACTTCTTTCTGTTCTAATATATTTTAAAGTGTAATTTATTCCTGTGATGCAAAGCTGAATTTTCAGCATCATTACTCCAGTCTTCAGTGTCACATGATCCTTCAGAAATCATTCTAATATGCTGATTTGCTGCTCATAAAACAAATTGTTATTATTATCAATGTTGAAAACAGTTGTGCTACTTGATATTTTTGTGGAAACCATGATACATTTTTTTTCAGGATCCTTCGATGAGTAAAAAGCTCAAAAGAACAGCATTTATTTGAAACAGAAATCTTTTGTAACAATGTAAAAGTCTTTACTATCACTTTTGATCGATTTAATGCATCCTTGCTGAATATTAATTTCTTTTAAAAAAGAAAAATCTTACTGACTCCAAACTATTGACCAGTAGTGTAATTATAGATGTTTTTTCTAGTGACCATAGATCTTGTAATACTGCAGAACTGCAATATTATGTTTATCAAATAGACTATAGAGGAAAGGCATTCCACATTTATTACCTGTTCCCAAGAAACTATTAAGAATTACGCCCCCTAGAATGGGATAATTCTGGTTGACAGACTTCCTAATTTTTTGGGAAATGGAATTGTTTATGCTGATGAAATACTGTGGTAACAAATACCATCAGCCCTTTCAGTAATCCTATTAGGGTGTGATATGCGCCACCAGACAAAAAAGGGTACTTTGTGTACAATAGTGGGTAATTGAACTAAATGTTAAGAGACCAAATGTAGTTTAATTCGGCTAGTGTGATTAAATTTGAGTTCAACAAGGCATAAATGTGTTGGGTGACCAATAAAATATCTCTGCAATGTGGCATGCTTAAAGAAACTCGGTTATATTACAACTTGATTATATCTTTCATGCTTTCTTCACTTCTGTGGTGATTTTGTCTTAATGTGAATGCTCCAAACAAACTCAGACTCACGTGTTTCAATTATAACACAAAGCTTTCCAGATTCACTTCAATTTTCAACATTGTCATTTTATTTAAAAAAATGTTTTTACATTTTTTTATTTTAAACACCTTTTATTTGTGTCTTACATATGTTACTATACAAAGCTAATGTAAGACAACGACATTTTAGTAAATTGTAAAAATATGAAAATGTCTGGTAAAGTATTTTCTGAAGTCGTTATGATATATCACATGTGTCTTTTGTTATTTGTGCCCAGGTTGGAAACAGCAAACATCACCTGCAGGTGGTGAACATCTCCACTGGGAAGAAAGTGAAAGGAGGCTCCAGCAAACTGACCGGTCGTGTGCTTTCTCTCTCGTTTGATGCACCAGGGAGAATCCTGTGGGCTGGCGATGACAGGGGAAGCATTTTCTCCTTCCTCTTTGACATGGCCACAGGTACAAAGATGTTTCATGCCAAGCCCAGATTGTGATTTTGGGGGGAAAGTCTGGAAACCATAGTAATGTAGATGAGAGTTTAAGTAAAATCAAGGTTCTTCTTCCACAGGAAAACTGACCAAAGCTAAGAGACTGGTGGTGAACGAGGGCAGCTCTATTTCCAGTATCTCAGCCCGCTCATGGATCAGTCGAGAGGCTCGGGATCCGTCTCTGCTCGTCAACGCCTGTGTAAACAAACTACTGCTCTACAGGTTAGAATGCACTTAACGGAAAACCAGATTGTCACGTTCCTTTGGCTAAGATGATTATTGATCAGTGTGGAACTGGTGTTGACAGGGTCGTGGATAATGAGGGGACTCTACAGCTGAAGAGGAGTTTCCCCATCCAACAAGGATCCCTACCGCTGCACAGCATCTTCTGTCCTCTCATGTCCTTCAGACAGGGAGCCTGTGTTGGTAAGCCCCGAATCATCATCTCATCTGTGACCATTTACATTCAGCAACTGAAAATAGGGCCATTGTAATTTCTGTTTTTTAAATCCCTTTCTTTGAATACTAAGCAAAGCTCGAATTATGTGTGCTTAAAGACAAGTCATCATAGGCAAGAAATGGCAATAAAAAGAGTTTAATATATTTAAAAACGGACTATTTTAACCAATATTTGTGTGCTATATACCATTCAAACTTTGGGGTCGGTAAGATTTTTAAAATAAGTCTCTTATGCTCTCTAAGGCTGTATTTATTTGATAAAAATACTGTAAAAACAGTAATGTTATGAAATATTATTTCAATTTAAAATAACTGTTTTCTATGTTAATATATTCATTACTTCAGTGTCACGTGATCCTTCAGAAATCAGTCTAATATGATGATTTGCTGCTCAGGAAACATTTCTGATTATTATCAATGTTGAAATCAGTTGTGCTGCTTAATATTCTTGTGGAACTGGCATATATTTTCAGCATTCTTTGATTAATAGAAAGTACAGAAAAACAACATCATAAATGTCACTTTTGATCAATTTAATGCATCCTTGTTGAATTTTTTAAAAATTTCTTTCAGAAAAAAGTTCTTTTGAATGGTAATGTATATGTGATTTTACATGTTATTAGGCTAGCAACATAATAAGTTTGCCAACATACTAATGGCAAACTATTGAAATCGATCCATCATATATCACTCACTGATGTGCACTTACAAGGTTCCTTTTCAGTTAGGATGCTGCCTATGTGGGCAGCTCACACTGTTTTGGAACAAAGCCAGTGTAAGTGAATCCCTGCTCTTTCTCTCATGTAGTCACTGGCAGCGAGGACGCATGTGTCTACTTTTTCGACGTCGAGCGCAACACTAAGGCCATTGTCAACAAGCTGCAGGGTCACAGCGTGCCCGTCCTGGACGTGAGCTTCAACTGCGACGAAAGCCTGCTAGCCTCCTCTGACGCCACCGGATTGGTGATCATCTGGAGACGGGAGCAGAAGTAATCACAGCGACTCCAAGCTTTCGCTACCTTGGCTACAGCATCTTCCATGCAGGCTGGCTTGAATCACGTGCAATGAAACTCCTACTGTAAACGTGTGATGACTGTAATGTGTTGAATGAGTCTGAGCTAACTCATGTGGACCATGAAAGAAACTTGTTTTCTCTTATCTTTGTTTTAGGGCTGATATTTCTATTGTTGTTGTTTTGGGATGTGATGCTTGATTGTGACTATGTGCACTTCATCAGTGCTTTGCAGTCTTAAATGTCTAACTTAAGAGAGGAGACGTTAATATAATAATTTGTTCACCTTTGTGCATTGTGTCTTTGTGAGCGAGTGTGTGAGAATGAGAACGCTTGAGACAATGTGTCTCTGAAGTTGTGTTCGCTTGCACAATAACACTACTGTATTTATGCCTTGTTGAACTCAATAAACTTACTCACACTAAAGTTACATTTGGTCTCTCTATATTTTCCCTGAATTTATTCACATTTTGTTCGCATGTTTTTTTTAATGGCAACTTCAAATCAAAGGAGCTTTTGAAGATGGGGAAGTTGTTGGCACACAGGAAATTTAGTTCAAGGAGTGCTATGATGCCCCTTTTTACAAGATGTAAAATAAGTCTCTGATGTCCCCAGAGTGTGTATGTGAGGTTTTAGCTCAAAATACCACACAGATAATTTTTTTATAGCATGTTAAAATTGTCCCTATTTGAGGGTGAGCAAAAACGGTTTGTTTTGTGTGTGTCCCTTTAAATGCCAATAAGCTGCTGCTCCCGGCACAGAGGGTGTTGTTTTAGCAACTCAGATTGCCTCTTCTCAACATGGACTCACCCCATTTGTTGCGTGTTCCCTAGGGCGGAGTTTATGTAACTTTTGGGGTTAGTGATGTCACTAACCCGGGAGGAATGTCGTGTAGTCCCTATCAGTCTCTAAAAAAAAAGAAAAAGAAAAAAAAAGTCCCTATCAGTCATTTGTTGTAGTCCTTAAAAAAAACGTTTTTTTTTTTTTTTTTTTTTTTAAAGAAGCAAATATCTCCCTTTGTTTTGAACTTTGAGCGCTGTAACTTTGCAAATGTTGTTTATGCTCAAACAGCAACATTACACACCAACTAAAGTTAAAAAGTGAAATCATAATCAACCACCCCTTTCAAATCCTTTTTAAAAAAATCTCAGCCTATATTTTCAAGTTTGAAATATGAATTGGTCTCATCAAGTTAATAATTTTACATGTATTTCTTTATTATTGATATTTACTCTGTTCTAATACTGGTGAGAATATTTCTTGAATATATTTAAAGTATTTTCCAGTATCATGAATAAATTGTTGCCTATAAAATGTATTTTTTCTAAAAAAAATGTAAGTAGGATAGGCTATTTGATGACTTCAGACTCACGAGGCACACTTGTGTCTCGGATGAAAAGACTTTTAAACCTCGTTGCCATTTTTAAATGTTAAGGCTTTTATTTTGAAATGAACATGTTTTAAATATGCATGAGCACACTTTTTTCATGTGCTTTTATTTTGAAAGGAAGCAATTCTCTCACGGCAGCCACAATGTAACATGTGGGAGGAACTACTTCCGGTTCTACAGTGGGTAAGCTTAAAGAGAAAAACAAACAAACATATAAATTAAACGCAAATGGTATAAATATATATTGTTACAAAATGTATTTTAGAAGCCTTGAACATTGATTACTTATTGTATAGAAGGGGGTAGACACAGCTAGCAGGCAAGTAAAGAACCCACTACATAAAACAGCTAACAAAATGAATAAATCTGTTTATTTTTTATTTTTATTATTTCAGACGCTGTAATTCTAAAGACATCTTATAAAGAGTTAAACTAGTTTATATTTTCATGCATGCGAATCGTCGAGGCCGTTTTTTAGAGGTGTGGTCCATCTGATAAAACGAGTCCATTCTCTTTCATGAATATGCATTATTTTAAAACGTTTAAAGGATTTAATGGTTGTTTCTTATGTAATCATAGTCTTTTTATATTTGATATTTATATATACTACAATTGTTGGATAACTATTTTATAAAAAAAAAGTTTATTTGTCACAAACAAATACTTATGTGACTCAGTTTCCAAGAAAGATCTTCAGGGCATTATATAATATTGTGTTTATTATGTTTTACTGACTTGATTTATATATTTTTTAGAATCTTGCATGAGTTTGTACTGTTTTAAAGCGTGAAGAGACCGTGGGACAGAGGGAACAGAATATGCCTTTCCTCCACGGGTTCAGGAGGATCGTGTACGAGTACCAGCCGCTGGTGGATGCTGTGATGAGTGTCCTGGGAACAGAAGGAGGAGAAAACCAGCGCAGGTCAGCATCTCAACTGCATTTGAAAGACTGTATTTCACAGACGATGACAGAATTGTATGCACTGCATTTCACAGACAAGAGGATGAAGAAAGCATCTCAAGGGCCCTTGTGGAGCTTCTGGATAGAGAGTCCCAGTCTCCCGTCTTCATGCAGGGAATCAGCTACTCCCTGTTTCGAGTGGCTGATCTCGGGTTGGTCAGCGCAGCAAAGGTGCTCTTGCGTTACGGAGCTGATCTCAACTTTGAAGGTGCGGAGATGCTAAAGACTTTGATGATTTTGTGATTCTGATAAACCTCATTATCATCTCGAAACTTTTTGTTATTGTTCCAGACCCTGTATCGTACTACAACCCCTTACACATTGCAGTGTTGAGGAACAAGCCAGACATGGTGCAGATGTTGATATCTCACGGAGCTGAAATCAACAAGAGGGACAGGGTGAGAACACGTGTCTTTATAAAAGTAGCATTTACTGTTATAGTCATGCAACGATGCTTTTTGTGGCACTTTTTCGTCTCTGCAATAGATTCATGAAAGCAGCCCTCTTGACCTGGCCAGCGAGGAGGCGGATAAGCTGCCGTGTTTGCGTGTGCTTCTGGACTTGGGTGCTGATGTGAATGCGAAAGACAAGAATGGTATTTTATTTAACTCATCTAACAATATAGAATGTTTGTGGTTTCTTGATATATTTAATCTGATTCTAACTCTCTGTTTATTGTGTTGTGCGTTTGCAGGAAAAACTGCACTGCTTCATGCTCTGGCCAGCAGTGATGGACTCACAGTCAATAATGTGGACAATATAGAGCTGCTTCTACAAAGAGGTGCTTCACTGAACATTAAAACATCATAAAAGGACATTAGAAAACAGATTTATTCAGAAATTCCGTTTTAAAATCTCAAATCTTGACTTAAACTGAAAGATTTTATATACCGGTACTTGTTATTGTAATGTTGAAAGTGAAATATTAATACAATTTTAAATAACTGTTTTTTTTTTTTTTTTATATATTTGAATATATTCTAATATGCTGATTTGATACTCAAGAAACATATCTCATTATCAATGTTGAAAAAAGTTGTGCTGCTATATAATGGATTATATATATATATATATATACACATACACAAGTAATAAAAATATTAATCAAATTAATCGTTTAATTATTTATTTATATATATATAAATAATTAAACGATTAATTTGATTAATATTTTTATTACTTGTGTGTTTCTGTATATATATATATATATATATATTGAGGTGTAATGTGACCTATAATATACATATTATATTAGTATATAAAGTATCATTGATTTGCCTGTATGTATATATTTTATTTATTTTGTCTTATTATTTGCTTTAAATACTTTTTTATTCATTTAATTTTTTTAAATTCTAAAAGTAAAAAAATTAAACCACTTATTCTTCTTAGCAATATATTTTTATTGCTGTTTTGAAACGCATATCTGTCCTGTGCAGGTGCAGATGTGAATGCCACCACACATGACGGTGAGACCCCCATGTCCTCTCTGATCTTCCTGGTGAAGGAGGCTCTGGACAGCAGCGTGGAGGATGCGAAGGAGATCGGGCGTTTTTGTACCCGTGTGGCACGTCTTCTGATCAGCCACGGTGCCGATCCCAGCTGCTGCTTGAACGCTGCTGACGGGGAAGAGTGGGAACATTCACTAACCTACACCATTCTGGAGAACTTCGACTTGCTATTTCCCCTGACCTCCCTTCTACTCCAGCACGGCGCTTCCTTCGTCTGCTCTCACCACAGCGCCTCCTTCTGGACGGGTCAACAACTGATATTCACGCGTCTCGCTGAAGCTCTCCGTGAGCCTTTAGATGCCGCCGAGCTGGCTGATGTTTTAGCCAAAGCTGAAGTGCTGTTGGATCTGGCCAGGATCTGCTCTCCTGTCGTTCCTCCTCTCTTCCCGCGCTCACAACTGCCCATTCTGGACCAGGTTTCTACCCATCAGCCCGTGCTGGAGCTCTACAGCAAACTAGAAGACCAAGAGAGCCGGCCTCTGCCACTGAGATGCCTTTGCCGGAGACTGATCCGCCGCTGTCTGCAGCCGTGGCCTTTTGAGGAGAAGGTGAAAGCCTTGCCACTGCCAGACAGACTGAAGGACCTGCTACTCCCAGAGAACTGCTGGACCAACAGACCCGGCTGGGACAGATTCAAACCTCGACGTTCTCCACGCTGAGAGGCGGATCCACGCGGACCGTGTTTGTGGTTGTAAATATCGAGCCCTTAATGACCTCTGCATTCAGTCAAATTCAGATAAAAGTGATGCAGTGCTTGTTTCATTTGAATCAGCATGCAGAAAGATAATTTGTCTGTTGATCCGAGAGTGGGAAACTAACAAAAATATGTATATAAGTCTTATAATTGTCATTCAAATGAGTGTTCTCAGTGCCAAAATGCCAGTAACCACACTGTATTACATATTACCAGGTAATTTTCTGTTTGTTTGGTAGTTTCTTTCAGTATGAAAAGGAATAATTGTTTACAGTTAAATCTTTAATATTGTGCAGCATCACTGTGTTATGTGCTTTGTACTCATGTGTGTCTATTTTTAAGCTGATTTGTAATTTATTCTGAGTTGCTGATTGGATATCATTTATATGATATACTTAAAATGCCTTAACAAGATCAACTTTGTTGCTGGAATATTGAAAAATGCTCTTGTGTGTGTGTGTGTGTGTAGTTTTTGACTTGTAAAATATGAGGCTGTAAGTTGTTGTCATATATTGCTTCTGAAGAATCAAACCTCACTTAAAGGAATTAAATGCCTTTGTTAAAAATCAATTGTTTAGTTAATAATTCAAGAAACTTGTGCCTGGCCTAAAAAGTAACAGTTATTACAGGTAAGATTATTGCTGGCTCCTCTTCCGCATCTAAACTGCTTTTGCACCTGGTTTAAACCGGTTTAACCCTGTAAGACCCATATATATATATATATAAAAATGTTTTCACCTGTCAGATGTTGTTGTAGGTGCCATCTGATGCAAATAATGAAGGATTTTTAAAAAAATTATGTTTTAGTAAGTTTTTAAGGAAATGTAATATTGTAACGTTGGGCCTATTTGGGAGCAGAATTTCAGCATTTGCACTCACACTAGCTACGTTTACATGGACACCTTTTGGTTCAATCGGAATGAAATCAATCCGATTGAGGAATCCCACCATGTTTCCATCCACTTGTCAATCGAATTATCTGAAGTTCGGTAAAAAAACCTCAAGCGAATAAAGCTGGTGAAAGTGTGTTTCCATCAAACGGCTTTAAAGCGGATAAAAACCTGTGCGTAATGACGTCACATGCTGTTTTGCGATCAAATTGGTATATCGAATTGGTTTGAGACATGTTAAGGTGTTTCCATGCATCTCACCGAATTGCACAACATTCAAGCCAACATTTGCGAACAAAGTTTTACTAGGCAAAATGGATCGCACCATAATAACGTTTCCATCCGCGTTTATCGCAAAAGCCGTATATCGATCAAGATAAAATCCGATGAGACCGATCGTATTTCATTTGAGTCGATATTCATGAAATTCAATCGAATTTTACTGTTTCCAAAAGGCATTTTTCATTCGATATCACTTATAATGCGGATAAAAACGTGTGGATGGAAACGACGACAAGCTTCAAATTGGAATCGATTTTTTGACATGCGCACACGCGAATATGCCGCTGTTCGTGCATAACTATTCTCCTCTATTGGCTCTTTATTTGTTTTAAACAGCACACTTTATATTTATCAATCTCTGGTCATGATTTGGAGACAATGAGCATATGAACCGTTTTGCCGTGCTGCTTATATTTAGTAAAAATGCCCAAAACCGTCTGTGGATGACAGTCTGAAACAAGCACTGGTGGGCCGTTGTCCTGGTCCACTTCACAGACGCAGTGAAATGAGAATTTTAGAATAACGGGACACTCATTTGATGACACTTTATTCAACAGGTACAACAGCTCTTTCCACGAGTCATACGTCATTACGCTATTTCAACGTCATTGCACATGCGCAATCCTTTCAGTTTTGGTTTTCAATCCGATCAAGTGTTTACTTGTTCTCTGGATCGGATTAGAAAATGAATAAACCACCCCTTTCAATCCGATCGAAATTACAATCGAATTGAGCTCAACCAGATCGATTAAGGTGTTTACATGAACGCTTTTCAGTCCGATTGAGCCGTAGTTAGAACAATTTGGGCTCATTTGAAGTGTGGATTGCTTACATGAATAATATATTAATCACCCAACAGTCATATTTTTATGTAGCCTATTAGAATTTATCAAAAATAAACATAAAATATAAAATATAATATAAAACTAATTTAAATGTAAATGAATCCTATATATGTGATACATTCCACTGAAGTCACACAATTCTAAAAGGAATATACAAACCCCCAGACCTCTAATGCATAGCTGCCAACTCTCACGCATTGGCCGTGAGACACCCGCATATGATTGGTTTCACACGCTCACACGCCACACTCCCGATTTCTCACGCTGAAGTGTCAACCCGGGCGGTCAAATGCCTGAAAGATGAGTTTACATACCTGCCAACTTTTGAGTTTTGCTCGGCGTGAGATTTCTTGACGGGGGGGGGGGGGGGGGGGGGGGGGGGGTAGAGACGAGTGAGATTTGTTGAGGGGGGGGGGAGGGAGGGGGTAGAGACGAGTGAGATTTGTTGACGGGGGGGGGGGGGGGTGTTTTGGGTAGAGTCGAGTGAGATTTGTTGACGGGGGGGGGGGGGGGTGTTTTGGGTAGAGTCGAGTGAGATTTGTTGACGGGGGGGGGGGTCTCGCTCGCGCAAGGTCTCTCGCTCGCTCTACGCGGTTTGGAGCACAATCTCTGTCTCGCATGCACGCTCGCTCTAGATAACGGGAGATTTTTAACGAATTTGCGGTATAACTAGTCGATCACGAGTGGCTCAACAGGTAGATATATAGATAAACTCATCTTCCAGGCATTTGACCGCCCGGGTTGACACTTCAGCGTGAGAAATCGGGAGTGTGGCGTGTGAGCGTGTGAAACCAATCAAATGCGGGTGTCTCACGGCCAATGCGTGAGAGTTGGCAGCTATGAGTTTATCTATATATCTACCTGTTGAGCCACTCGTGATCGACTAGTTATACCGCAAATTCGTTAAAAATCTCCCGTTATCTAGAGCGAGCGTGCATGCGAGACAGAGATTGTGCTCCAAACCGCGTAGAGCGAGCGAGAGACCTTGAGCGAGCGAGCGAGCGAGCGAGACCGCCCCCCCCCCCGTCAACAAATCTCACGCCGAGCAAAACTCAAAAGTTGGCAGGTATGTATGGCAAGCCATTTTAGCATTTAAAAGCTAAGTTTGACTATCCGGAATTAACATTGTAGATATCAACAACGTCTTTCTGACTAGTCGTAATTACATTTTGGATAGTTGGAATTGTCATTCAAGATATCTGTAACGTAATTGTGACTAGTCGAAACGACAGATAGAGATATCTGTAATTCAGTTTTGACTAGGCAAAACTGAATTACAGATATCAGCAATGACGTCATTGAAAACGACATTCAACTCGTCACACATCTTAAATGACAATTGCAGATATCTGTAATTCAGTTTTGCCTAGGCAGAATGAAAGTTAAAGATATCTCAAACGTCATTATAACTAGTGCAAATTATTGTGCATGATGTAATTTCCCCTCCCCACCATAATCAAAAAAGAAGTGGGTTAATTTGCTTATTTGGAAGAAGAAAAAAGCTGCATTGGCTTTAATCAAAAAAAAAAAAAAAAAACAATAAAAAAACACCAGAAAATGTTTACATGTTTCCAGCATGACACAAATTGTATTCATTTGCATTAGCCAGGGTCTCTCAAAAATATTGGCAACATGCAATGTTTGCCATGCATTTCTATGTTGTCACCATGCTTAAAATTAGTAGATTATTGTTGACGAAAGATTTATGCTTGAGAGAGATTCACACTAATTCACTTTAATGAAGATGCTTACATGCATGCAATTCTTGCCATGGAAGTGCAATAACATTTGATTGATTGAACTTCCTTAGATGAGAAAAAACAGTTCTCAGATTTTTTTTTTTTTCCCACAGTAAAAATCCATGATGAGCTAACAGCATTAAAAAGACGATTAAAAACTCCTTCACCCTCGACATGGTGCTAATTAAAAGTGAACAGTTAACAGGTGCTATGTGATTTGATGATTTGAACAACAACACGCTCTGCTCCTATGGCAAGCCCTTTTAACATTTAAAAGCTAAGTTTGACTATCCGGAATTAACATTGTAGATATCAACAACTTCTTTCTGACTAGTCGTAATTACATTTTGGATAGTTGGAATTGTCATTCAAGATATCTGTAACGTAATTGTGACTAGTCGAAACGACAGATAGAGATATCTGTAATTCAGTTTTGACTAGGCAAAACTGAATTACAGATATCTGCAATGACATCATTGAAAACGACATTCAACTCGTCACACATCTTAAATGACAATTGCAGATATCTGTAATTCAGTTTTGCCTAGGCAGAATGAAAGTTAAAGATATCTCAAACGTCATTATAACTAGTGCAAATTATTGTGCATGATGTAATTTCCCCTCCCCACCATAATCAAAAAAGAAGTGGGTTAATTTCCTTATTTGGAAGAAGAAAGAAGCTGCATTGGCTTTAATCGGAAAAAAAACAACAATAAAAAAACACCAGAAAATGTTTATATGTTTCCAGCATGACACAAATTGTATTCATTTGCATTAGCCTGGGGGTCTCTCAAAAATATTGGCAACATGCAATGCCATGCATTTCTATGTTTATGACCATGCTTAAAATTAGTAGATTATTGTTGACGAAAGATTTATGCTTGAGAGAGATTCACACTAATTCACTTTAATGAAGATGCTTACATGCATGCAATTCTTGCCATGGAAGTGCAATAACATTTGATTGATTGAACTTCCTTAGATGAGAAAAAACAGTTCTCAGATTAGTTTTTTTTTCCCACAGTAAAAATCCATGATGAGCTAACAGCATTAAAAAGACGATTAAAAACTCCTTCACCCTCGACATGGTGCTAATTAAAAGTGAACAGTTAACAGGTGCTATGTGATTTGATGATTTGAACAACAACACGCTCTGCTCCCGCCTAAAGTGGGATGCGGCCGAGCCTAATTTGCATACAGATATCTGCAACGTCATTTCGCCTAGTCAAAACTCTAATTCAAGATATCTGTAATTACATTTTGACTAGGCAGAATGAAAGTTACAGATATCTCAAATTTCAGATATCTCTAATCAACA